TGAATGAAAACAGGAATAAACTTTCCTTTTCTGGGATGATGAATGCTCATCTCTAAAATTAATCAAGAACAACTTTCTTTTCATCCTCTGTGCCTGAATCCCTCTTCAAATCCAACTGTGGAGCCTTTGGATGCGTAACAGATGCTTTGCTGCTGGGGCAATGACAGCAGCAACAGGTTGGTAATCACCAGCAGAAACTGCCAGTCAAGGTGTTTGCCCACAAAGCCTGACTTGTATCAGGAATCCTTTGGGAATAATTTGAATAGATGAATAACTACCCAAGGTTTCAACACTCAAAGGTAAGGCTTCATGCCTTTCCATGTATAATTCTGGAGATGTTTGGAAATTTTCTGGGAGGAAAATGTGCAGGTATGAAAATAGTGCAGAAGTTGGGAAAGTAAAAAACCTGCATTGAATGACGCCAGCTATCAGGTTAAACGAGAATTAATCCAAGTTAAAACTTGGAAGTGAATTACTGGAGCTTGCCCCAGCAAGGAAGGAAGCGTCCTTCGGACTCCTTTGGAAGGGAGGGAGTGGAGAGAGGCAAGAGTTTGTAGTCGATTGATGGTTATTAGACCTCGTTTGAATCAAGTGGACTTTGTCTTTAAATAAACACGATGACCTTGCTATTCATTACCCCAGTCATTGCTTATAGGTAACTGGTTCCAAAAATGCCAAAATTCAGCTGGGCGCTATGCACTGAGGGAGGACATGTGCCCCTAAAAACTGGATCAGGTGCACGTGTGTTTAAATTCGCAGAGTTGCCCGTGAGGAGTACGTATTGATGTTGCTTACCCAGCTGGCCACTTGCTGACTCAGAAATGCATAGTTTCAGTCTGCTATCAATTTTATTTATGAAAAAAAGCATCATTTTTAGTGGCATTGAGTGTAAACTGCCCCTTGATTCAAGCAGGTTTCCTTCCGAAGGAAAGAGTATCTGAAGCATCCGTTGTCTGGCAGCCTGGTCTCCTGATGAGCTAAAAGGTTACTATGCTCTGTCAATTATATCCTGATTATATTTTTCTCTGCATAAATACCTTTTTTATTTTAATGGGAAGTACTTAAAGTTGCATTGCTCCTTTGAGAAAAGCAGCAATATACCCCTTCAGGAAAAAGCACGTTGGCTTGGGAAAGCCTGGCCTGCTGAGCTATTTCATTAAGGTTTTGCTTGAAATATTTTTTCTTTTTTTTTTCCTCCCCATTTTTTTAGGTAATGGCAAAATAACTTGCTTGGAAGGAGATTAAGGCTGATTTTTTTTAATTTTTTTTTTATTATTATTTTTTAAAAAACAGAAATTTTCAGTTTGCTTCAATGTACCTCAGCATCTTAGTCCCTTCCTCACTGGGGATATTTGAATTGCTGCTGGTTTGGATGGTTCTAATACTAGTGTCTGACTTGCCAACAGGGTGGGACAACAGCAACATTAAACAGGGTTGGACAACAGCAACATCTAACTCTAGCAGCCTTTATAGGGAGGATTGTGAGTTTGAAGGCGATTTGGCTTTAGCTGTAACCTCAGTAGGTTCATAACAGTCTCACGACAGCGCTTCTGCTGTCCTGCAGGCTTGAGTTCTTCTAGCACATGCCTGCATACAAAACAGAAGTTTATGTTTATGCTCCAGATTGAATTTAGTTTCCCATCCATACCAATTAGGACCTTGTAGGGCATCTCTCAGTGTTTCATAGACAAGAAATTCACTTTCTTGGGGCAATTATGTTAGTGGGAGTGTAAATACAGGAGATGTGCCTCTTCTCCAGCCTTCCCAGTGCAGAGGGTGATTTTAGTGCCATGGTCATCTTCTTATCTTGGCAGCTTCCAGTACTAGACCTGTATCCTGGTACTTGTTTCTTTGTTTTAGCTGCTAGACCATGCTTCCCTCCATCACAAACCAGCCGTCTGCATAATTAAATACATGACCAAGTCCTTCCTCTCATCTCACTTGGGAGTACAGGTCCCTGGTTTTAACCAGACTCTTCCAAACTGGGAAACCCAAACCAGTATCACCCGAAGATTTAGACTACAGCTGTGCGTTAGAGCTCTGTTGGCATCTCATGGATGAAAATCCACTGCCTAAATACGTGCAGTTCCCTTCTGCTCTGTCCCCCGCAAAGATGTCAAAATTAATGGAGTTAGTTTAATTCTCCACAATGAAGTTGGTGTTACGTGTGGCAATAGTAGTCTCCTAGTAGAAGCCGTTCATTTTATGTGATTCTTGTTATTAGAATTGTATAGAATTGGAGAGAAAACAGCCATAGACAGACATGGAAAACAAAGGGATTCCATAACCTGGACCCTTTTCTGGGTTTTAACTACGAAGCCGTGATACCTATGCTATAAGCCAGGTTGCTGTGGCCCCTCTGGTCAGCGGAGGGAGGCTGGTGCTTCCCGAGGAGCTTGGCCTCTAAGGTCTGAATTATCGGTTAACTGGATGGAGTTGAGCAGGGCGAAATACTTTGAAATTTGGTTTTGGCTTTTCGGAAAGTTCAGTAAGGCTTTGGAAAGATCCAGCTGGATTTCTCTGTATTAGTGAATAAGAAACTGTGCCAAAGCAGCTAGGTCAGATTTGGCTTCTCAGGAAGACCAAGGCTGCTATGGCGGCTGCAGGAGGAGTGAATTCATTTTGCACACGAATACCCGGAGCTAACTCATCCTAAACCCTAGGGTGTGATGGTTGGGAAACTCAATCTATTGAGTCAAGAGGGTGGCTGGCTGACTGCCCACAGCCGTTTCGGGGATAACACAATGTTTGCAAAACTCTCGGCTAGCTGGGCAAGTCCGGATGAGGTGATGGATTGCAACCACCCTCTGTGTGACTAAAATGGGGCAAGACCAGCATGGCTTGGTGGTTGTAATGTGTGCAAGCATTGTTCTCATGGTAATGGGCGTTTTGACTTTGTACACAACAGACTTTGGCTCATTCCAAGCTTCCTTTCAATATCTTGGTCCTGCTACTACATCAGAAACTTCATCTCATCCCCCATTCAACAACGTACATGCTTTAGTGTTTGAATGGGAAGCTTTCTCTTAGGGCTGTCTGGGGAATATTTTGCATGTGTTTGAGATGCAGCTTTTGTTCCCTGTAGAAACAGATGTGCTTAAGTAAAACGTGGAAAATGGGTCCTGTTTTGAGGCCAGGACTCTCTAAAATAATTGCACCCCTATTTTTGGTATCTTCAAGTTGGAACTGGCTTTGGAAGAGCTGTTTTATAAATAATAAAATGTTCAGTTCACTGAGTTGCAGAAGACATTCTGAGGCACGTGGAAGCAAGCCTTTAGAAACCAGCTGGTGATGATGGAAAAAAAAAAAATCTGTCATATTTCAGCTCTTTGGTCAGTAGATTTGAGGCAGAAATAAATGCATCTAAGTACCAGCCACTCCCCACCTTACCTTTTCTTCCATTTGTTGTCTGGACTATGGCAACCGCTTCCTTGCTTCTGAGCTTCTGCTGCAAAAAATACATCTTTCTCCACAGCTTTGGTCATGTCTTGCCCCTTCGTGCTCTCTCCTGAATTCAGAGCAAGACTCTGGTCCTCTCCTGTAACCTCCTTCTGCCTCCAACCTAATCTATTCCCATTTGCCCACGTGTTAGCAGCTACAGCTGAGGTGTCCTCTGTTCTCCTCTGTTTCTTCCATGGAGCATTCCCACCTTTGTAATAATCTCTCTTGCTACGTCTCGCTTAGCTGCTGCTTCTTTGTCTATGACTTTTTTGGTTAGTTTGGTCAAAATAACCCTCTCGACAAAGTGCTTTCTGCCGGTCTGGGTCCCAGTGTCTCCTCAGTCCTGCCGTGGTCATCAGGATGTGGGATTTTTGTGGTCAGTAGAAAGCCTGGTGATTATTTTGCCAGGCTGAGGTCTTTGTCACGTTGATCATTTGCGAAGCGCCGTGCATCTGTGGCATACGGATGATAAAAGCTATTGAAAGCTTTTGAAGGACAAAGCTGTGCGTGATGGATGGCACTTGTCTGAGTTCATAGAGCAGTTACCCAGCCGTGTATCTGAGACCACTCTGCAGCCCATGTCCGTACTCCTAGCTCTCTCCTGCTGACAAGCTGAACAGGTTTCCGTGAAGAGGGTGTCAATTAAGAGCTTTAAATTCAATGGATATACTTATGGGGTCAGAATTTGCTGGGTATATTTGATTGTTCCCTACAGCTGGTAATCTCTTTCCTTCTGCTGTTTGCCCTGAGGGTTTTGGGGAATCTGTTTTTGAGGGTTGATGTCCTAATTCTTCTAATGCAGTTCGAAAATATCTGAAGGATGCACTGTTCCTTTTCCACAAATATACGGTAGACACACATTGAAAATATCTGCGTACCTCCTGTCTTGCGCAGACTTACGTTCATGTGGTCCAGTGCCCTGCTGACTATGTAAGCTGCTGCTTTGCTTAGTGGTTTACCACTAGATGCGTTAAATAAATACACTTTATGTAATATTTGTGCTTGGGTTGTAATGATTTTGCCTGCTTCCAGACTCTAAACAAGTCACGTAACAAAAGGGGTCTGTAAAACGCAACTTTCTGCCAGTAAACCTCTGTACGGCCATCCTTGTTTGTGTTGTGAGCTATTGAGGTTGGAGGAGGGAGATCGTGTATCGCCCTTGAGCATCTTCCCTGAAAGCTAGATCTTGAAGTGGCAAATATAAGTTCCAGCTTTGATCAGACCTCTTAATATGTAGTATGTGCAGGGCACACAATCTCAGGGCTACAGGATCCTTAAAGACTTTTCCTCCAGGAGAGGTGACTGCCTCTGGGCGCTGTGCCATGTTGTTTGGAAGCATGGATTTTTTCAAAGCTCTTGAACTTCCAAGTTGTTCTTCTGGCTCCTGGTGCAGTCGTTATTTCCCCCTCGTAGAAGACCACTGCCCCTGGGGGAGGTAATCTCTTCTTCCCTCTTGGTCATGGCCTGCTCACCTAGCTGTTCAGAAACCTTTGGCTGCCATCCCTTACGGTGCATCAATGTCAGTAACCCGTTCCTGTGATTTTTGTCTCCTCTGACAGTAGCTATTGATGGAAGAACACGGGGTGACCCAAACAGAGCACATGGCCACCATCGAGGCCCACGCAGTGGCCCAGCAGGTACAGCAGGTCCATGTGGCCACCTACACAGAGCACAGCATGCTGAGTGCGGACGAAGACTCGCCGTCTTCACCGGAGGACACCTCCTACGATGACTCTGACATCCTCAACTCCACGGCTGCCGACGAGGTCACCGCTCACCTGGCTGCGGCAGGTAAAGTCAGCGGGACGCTTGGCATCGTTCGCCTAACGTAGCGTTTGTGCAGAGGTCACAAACAGCGCTCAAGGGTGGTGGGTGATACTGTCATCCCATGGGATGCTCTGAATGCTTCCTTATCGCCCTGGCTTTAATAGCGCTTTGCAAGGTCTGCTGGCTGCTTGAATCTTGCATCACTTTATCTGTGTGTAATATAGATGTACCGGGAATAGACTGGTTTGTACAATAAGAAAGGTCCCTGGTAAATGCTGCCTCAAAAAAACCAAAACTAAAATACTGAATATGTCAAAGAGCAAACTTATTTCAGGCCCATATAAACAACAGCAAAAATAACCCAGGAGTGCTACGCAACCCTGCTTAGCCAGGGAGCTCACATGCTAGGCCTCTCCCATGGAGATGCCACAAAGGGTCCTGGCATATCTGGACTGGACTATTTGAGAATCACAGACTCCTTCCAGTGAAGCCCCTGCCAAACATCCTCCAGATTTGCCTTGTAGTGGATCCACCTCATGAGTAGAAAAATGCAGTAATAAATAAGCAGTCACAGACTTGTCTGACTCCTTATCAGACTTCATCTGAGGAATAAAGCTCTTGTGTTTCACCAAACCTGTGAAGTTCCTCCACCCCACTGAGCATCCCACACCCTTTGCTTATGAATTTTCCAAACTCAGCTCCTGCAGGATTTTTTCTTTCCTCCTTCCCTTCTAGCACACAAGCTTTTCAGGCCTGGGTAGTGCTTGCAGGAGGGGCAACTGGTGGCTCTCGCCTGCCTGTGAGCCCTCCCAGTGCTGGGACTGCCTGGTGCCCCTCCAGCCCCTGGCCAAGTAGTCACCCTGAACCAGGAGCTGCCCCGCTTCCCCAGGGCAAGCGGCCGCAGTTTGCAGCATGGGCTGGCACATCCAGCCCAAAGCTTGCCCAAGAGCCCAGCATGGCCCTCCCTTGCTTCTCCGAAGCAAATGTTTTTCCAGTCCCCCAAAAGGCAATGTTTTTATTCTTTTTTTCACAAGCACAGGATCATTGGAGCAGTATGTAGTGGTGCTTGCTGCGCCTGCCGTGGGTAGCGCTCGGGTAGTTCGTTACTGATTAACAAAACTTGGCTCTGTAGTGTCAGCCCAGAGCTCTGTCCATGATGGCATCCCATCTCCTGGAGCAGTTCCTTTGAGAAAACATATAATCGGACACTACTTTTCTTATCATCTGCCAGCTTCCACTGATCATAGGTATCTTAGGACTTCCTGATCTAGTAGCTGCATCTTTGCTAAACGCAAAAATACAGGGCTTTTATGAGCCCCAACGTGATCTTTCACCTCTGAGAAACTACACACAGAGCAACTGAGGTCTGCTCAGGAGTCAAAGGCAAGTCTTGAGCCTGCATTAGAGACCAGGGCTTTTTGACTCTGACCCTGCACTCGTTTCTGGAGATCACTGATAGAAGCACAATCCACTGCATGTTACGTGGTTTCCATCCAATTAACTTAATGAAACTTCCCCTTACGTAGATTCTGTGTCTAAAGTTTGATCACGAAAGCAACAGCACTGCCCTGCCACGGTCCCCGCTGTTCTTTGGGGGGCTGTTGTGGGACGCTGCTGGTGACTCTGGATTTACAATTCCTTTCACATCAGAGCTGGTCCTTAATCCCTGGGGAAAGCCTTGGACTCCTGATGCTGTAGTTGAGATGTCTAAGCAGGATTCATGGTGTTGTACCTGATCTCTTTTCCCCTGCCGCTGGGATCTCCTCGATTGCAGTCAGTTATTTAAAGTCTTGGCATACTTGAGAGTTTTTCAGTGTGTTTGGAAGACAAAATACATAATTATGTGATTGCATGGAAAACTCTGGACTGAAATGTGTGATTTTCACTTGGGACTGAGCTGGGACTTGCCAGGCTGGGGAATGGAGCCTTTTGATACACCTCTCCAATGCAGGAGAAGAGGAATCCCGGCTGCTGGGGAGCTCAGCAGGGAATTTGGGTCGCTCCAGTCCAGAGGGGAGACCCTTGAGCTGAGCCCTTGGGGACTCATCCCTGGATGGGGGGAGGGCAATGGCGATGTCCTGCGTGTGCTGATTCACCCTTCGTGGTTTGATTTCCAGGCCCTGTGGGGATGGCAGCAGCTGCTGCCGTGGCAACGGGTAAAAAACGAAAGCGACCACACGTTTTTGAATCCAACCCATCAATCCGCAAGAGGCAGCAGACGCGTTTGCTACGGTAAGGACTCCCGCCTGCACTCTGACACCTCGCTCTGCATCCTCGAGATGTCTCCAGTGCCATGCACGGTGTGACCACGTGCTGCCCAGAAGTTGCCCAGCTTGGGGTTTTTTTTGAGGCATCTTTTCTGGAACCCAAGAGCTGTGTTTTAGTTTGCAGAACTGGGTTAAATCGCAGCTTGACTCATCTTTAATGTGATATTATGATCACAAGGACTGATGTGGCCATTCTGGTGGGATCCACCATTCTGGTGGGATCCGCCATTCTGTTTCAACCCCAGCTGGTCACCAGTTAAATCTGTCATGGTAACGTTACCTTGCAAGATATTCGTGGTGGCTTTAACAGCAGCTGGCCTGAGAATCTGGAGCTTACAGCCATATCCCATCTCTGCAGTGACATGAAGGACTTACCTACCTAACAGAAGAAGTCTTTTCTGCATTATAAAGTGATCCTGTGAATAAATCTAGTGTGTGTGTACCTGAATTTCCTTTGCCAGACAGTCCCCTTGTGTGAGCTCCACACTGAAGACTGACCCGGTCTGTAGTGCACGGTGTTGGGGGAAAATAATAGAGGGGAGATGCCTGCCAGAGCTGAAACACTTTCTTTGGCTTTAGAAACGTGCTCTGTAGATACCAAATTTCCATAGCCCTTCAGGTGTTGCATTACAGGTGCTTTGAGGCTGTCTGCCCGCCTGATGGCCACCTAGGAGCACTGGTGCTGAAGTGACTGCACAGGCTTTCTGCAAGCCTGGAGAGATCACCTGCAATTCCATCTTCAGGAAACATTTGTAACTGTTGGCTGGTACTATTTACTAGGTTTTGGAACAAAGCAGGGTTTGCTTTTTTAAACTGTTTTGGATTTAATTGGGTTATCTCACAAGAGCTTGGGGTATTTGTCACCCTATTTCTCACTGGCTTCCTCCTGCATGCACTGAAACAGCGATGGTCAGAGTTTTGCCTTTTCTCCTTCTCCTCTATTCTAACTCTTGCAAAGTTGGTGAGAAGTTAGGTTGGTTTCCTTGTATTCTGCTTACTCATCTGCTGAGTCCCAGAACACCCTTTGCACGTGTTCAAACTGGAATGAAGTGGAGCAGAGTTAGTGTTAAATAATATTCCCTGGCAGTGGACTCCCTTTTTTTTTTTTTTAATTTTTTTTATTTATAGCTCCATACTGGTTTTCCCCCCTCCCCCCAACTCTGCTGACCCAGCTGTGTTTATTGCAACATTTCTGAAGAGCAAATTCTTTTCTCTCTTGAAATGCGAACAATGTATTTTTAAAGAAAGTTCTATTTAAAGGAATGATTTCTTTTCCCTTCATGCAACTACTTCATTTTACTACATGCAAATTACTGACAAAATGCATCATTTTTTTTGCACTCTGATCAGTTTGACGTGTTTGTGCTGGATATTTACACCGCTGTGAATCCAGTGGGAAGTTGCAGTGTCTGATTCTGGGATCTCTGTGTAGCTGGTGGTGCTGCTGGTGCTTTTTGGCAACATGTCTGCTGCTAACAGCAGGTTCTGAAATGACCAGGGCAGATACTAAGCTGTCACCTTATGGTGTGCTCAGGTTATCTGGTGGTAACCGCTACTTCTCTCTTGCTTTATGAGTTTCTGCCAACATTTCTGACATGCTCTCTTGCCCTGCTTATAAGCATATAAGAGGCGGGAAGTATACAATGGAATATTTTCTTCCTATGGAGAGATTGTTCCAAAGGGACTTGCTGATGTGGCAGGTGTCTGAATACCTGGATTTCCCGTGATGAGCTGTTGCAATATTTCTGGTTCTTGCCTGTCCTGTAGTTGTAGGTTGAATTCTTACAGTGCTGGTCTGAGCAGGACTTTAGTACTAGAGAATCACAATGCAATGTGTCGTGGTTTAACCCGGCTGGCAACTCAGCACCACGCAGCCACTCGCTCACTCCTCCCCTCCCTCAGTGGGATGGGGGAGAGAATAGGAAAAAAAAACACGCAAGACCCATGGGTTGAGATAGAGACAGTTTAATAAGAGAGAAGAATAACAATACTACTAATAATAATAATGGTAAGAGACTATACTAAGAGAGAAGAATAATAACAGTAATAATAATAATAATGGTAAGAGAATATACAGAATATATTGCTCACCACCTGCTGACCAATGCCCAGCCTGTCCCGAGCTGCGATCACTCTCCCCAAGCCGCGATCACTCTGCCCGCGACCGACTGACTAACCCCCCCCGAGCATGACGTTCTATGGTATGGAATAGCTCTTTGGTCAGTTTGGGTCAGCTGGCCTAGCTGTGCTGTACTCCCAGCTTGTTATGCCCCTGGCCGAGCAGGAGAAGCTCAAAAAGTCCTTGAGTAGTCTGAGCACTACTTGGCAACAACTGAAACCATCAGTGTGTTATCAACATTCTTCTGGTACTAAATCCCAAACACAGCACTATGCTAGCTACTATGAAGAAAATTAACTCTTACCCCAGCCAAAACCAGGACACGCTGTTATGAGGCTGGATGTAAAAGAACCTGTGTTTTCAGTCCTCTTTTGTTGAATCATTCAAGTTTTATATTGCTAATACACTTAGACAGTGACAGAGTGGATTTGCAGACTCTTGCTTCGCTGCTCTGGTGATTTCTTTTTACATCAATGGAAAAAGGGGAGAAGGGAGAATAACTGATATTTGAGCTGCTGGGTGACTGCAGGGAACGCAGCAGGCCTGCGGGAGTGGGGGAATAAGCAGTATATGTGGCTAGTCTGACCAGCTGGGGCTCCGTTTCTCACCTGGTTTGTGAATGGGTAGCATTAAGAAAGGGAGTTTACAATGCAAAGGGTTGTGTTTCTCCAGGGCTTTCAGCTGATACCTATTCACTCTTTTTATCTCTCTGTTTCAGGAAGCTCCGAGCCACGCTGGATGAGTACACCACCAGAGTAGGGCAGCAGGCCATCGTTCTGTGCATCTCGCCCTCCAAACCCAATCCCGTCTTTAAAGTATTCGGTGCTGCACCCTTGGAGAATGTGGTAGGTGTCTGTAGGAAGAGCTATGTAATAAATCCCTCGCCTTCTCTGCAGGTTTCCTTCTGCTGAAGGCAGCCTTGCAAGCCTGGTAGTGATCTGAAGGTCAATGTTTAAAACCCTGCAAACAGGAGTTGGGAGTGTGTGGACGTGAGTGCAGCACTGACGTCCTGTCTTCCCTGCATGGATGGTTGCCTAGCATGTCTCACCAGGGGTGCATATTCTGGACTAAAAATCAGAGGGAGCAGGTAGTGATGATGTGTTTGAACTCAGCTCGGCTGTCAGTGCTTGTACCTTGTTGTAGACCAGACAGTAAATGGAGCAGATCCTGACTGTGATAAGTCTTGCTTCAGAACTTTTCTTTTAATCCTGGTATTACTTGATGTTTCATCATCAGCTCTTCGATGCGGCCAAGTCTTCAGGGCCAGTGGGTATTTTTTCTTGCCAGCTGTGGCATTGTTTGCTCCTTCTGTTCTGCAGCACCTTGGGGAAGGTGGCTGGCCCTGCGTCCTTGCCCTCGCCTCTCCTGGTGCTCCTTACCTTGTTTATCTGAGCTTAACGATTCCCCACAGGTACGCAAGTACAAGAGCATGATTCTGGAAGACCTGGAGTCTGCGCTAGCAGAGCATGCTCCTGCACCTCAGGAGGTTAACTCGGAGTTGCCACCCCTCACCATCGATGGCATTCCCGTCTCGGTGGACAAGATGACCCAGGTGAGCAGCCAAATGTGGCAGAACCAGAGAGAGAGAGTTGGCATCTTGCAGTCACATCCTGTTATTTTGCAGTGGAGCTTATGTCTACATCTCCAGGGGATGCATTTGATCTTTTCTTTCCCATGGGACTGTAACAGCTCAGACGGTAGTTAGATGTGAAGTTTTGTTATTGGTGCTTATTTTCTGCATGAAACCGTAAAGATGCTGCTAAGGACTAGAGCTCAGGCTGCTGGGAGCATTCCCCTTTGGGCTGTTTTTGTCACTTCCCATAAACTATGAACAGGGAAGATATTTATTCTACACTTTGCAGTGATTTTTTTAGGCACTGAGGTGAGGAAGGTCACTTGTGGAGTACCATTTTGGCTTATCCTCCTTGGGCATTTATTGTGTCTATAGTTCGTTCCCTCTGTTTTCTGCTGTGGATTGGAGCAGAGAGGAGCTTGCCGATGGTTTAACTCTAGGTCAGACCCTGAGTGAGATACTTCTGATGGAGCCAGGGAGTTGTCTGCCTTAGGGATGTGGGGGACTCCCTTTCTCTCCAGGTCCAGCCCTTTGCTGACCTCGTTACTGCTAGGAGAAAGTGGAGGGGACCCCCCCCAGGGAAGCTTCCTTGGTGGGGGAG